GTGTGTACTATATCGTAAGTCAGGTTGAACGAAAACATCAGTTGATCGAGGTCGAGTGGAAGCAGGTTTAACTGAACGCCTTGCGTTTGTAAGCCTGTTCGTGTAGGAGGTTAGATCTATATTCATTGAAGAGGACGAAAAATCCACGAATTCTCCTGGAAGTCGAAGTGTCGTTCCATAAACGAGTTGAGCCGCAGTGTATCCAATGTCAGCTTTCACTGCATTGCGGATACCTAGTAAGACGAGTGGAAGAGCGTCCGTCCACTGTGAAACGTTTGCAGCTGATAGTGAAGCTTTTAGTTGTCGGTGAAAGCGTTCTACCAACCCGTTTGCTTGTGGATGGTAGGCGGTCGTTCGGAAGCGAGTGATTCTTAATACTGCGGTCAGACAACGGAAAAGTCCAGATTCGGACTGGCGTCCACGATCTGTAATGACGGTTGAAGGGCAGCCGAAGTTTGCTACCCATCGCTTGACGAAGGTGCGAGCCACTGTTTCAGCAGTGATGTCCTTGATAGGTACTGCTTCTGGCCATCGAGTGAAACGGTCTGCGCAGGTTAAGAGGTAAGAGTATCCATTTGAATCTGGTAAAGGTCCTACTAAATCCAGATGAACATGGATCGATGATTTGTTCGATATTCAATGACCCAGCTGCCGGATGATTTGGCTAGGGCTTAGTGACATTTCGCTGGCCCTACAGGAGTTTTAAATGAGCCTAAGGGACATTTATTGTGTCTGATAACCTTAGATTTTTGGCAGCTTACACAGGAGCGTGCCCACTTCTTCACGTCGTTATTCATGCCAGGCCAGCGAAGCCGTTCTGCTATAAGCTTGATAGTTGCACGAACGCCTGGATGAGAAAGTTTGTGCAACGTATTGAAGACATTGCGTCGATAATGTTTCGGTACAATTGGGCGATCCCTACCTGTAGATGTGTCACAAAGTAAGGTTTCCTTACCTGTTCCCATCTGTTTGATGCGTAGTTTAAGTGTTGTAGACGATAACTCATGCTGAAGATCAGTGTCTTCTTTTTGAAGCTCGGCGAGTTTAAGAAGGTCGATTCCTTGGAAACTGTCCAAGGAAGTTATGCGAGATAAGGCGTCTGCAACTACATTGTTTGCTCCAGAGATGTGTTGAATATCTGAAGTAAACTGCGAAATGTAGTCCAATTGTCGAGGCTCACGAGGTGAGTACTTGTATGAAGAGGCGCTTCAAGAGAAAGTACGAGGTTTATGGTCAGTAAAAAGGGTGAATTCACGGCCTTCGATATAGTGTTGAAAATGCCGTACAGCACAATACATAGCTAGGAGTTCCCTACCGAATGTGCTGTACCTCGATTCGGTGTCTAGTAACCGTCTAGAGAAAAATGCCAAAGGTTGCCAGGAGTTGTTAACTCATTGTTGTAAGACTCCTCCGATTGCTGAGTCGGATGCGTCTACTGCGATACTAATGGGTGCTCGGGTGTCCTGGTGTGCAAGCATTGTTGCTTTCACGATAAGTTCCTTAATCGTGGAGAATGCTTTTCGTGAAGTATTGTCCAGATTGATGGATTTTGCATTTCCACGAAGTTGGTCGGTAAGAGGTTACATGAGTAAAGCGCATTTCGGTGTGAAACGTCTATAGAAACCAGGCCGTTAAACGTGCGTAATTGCTTGACGGTGGTCGGTTCTGGGTAATCCAGAATTGCCGCCACTTTGGTCCTAAGGGGTCGAATACCTTGAGCATCTATAGTGTGTCTTAGGAAGTTTAATGAGTCGGTTCCGAATTGGCATTTCTGGACGTTTACAGTAATGCCATGTTTTTGTAATCGTTCGAAAACAAGATCCAGATGCTTGAAATGTGTTTCTTTGTCCAGACATGCGATTAGACAGTCGTCAACATACGCATGTACGAAGTTGAAACCTCGAAAAACGTCGTCTATGAAACTTTGGAATGTTTGAGCAGCATTTCTTAGACCGAAAGGCATTCGCAACAATTCATAGAGTCCGAAGGGAGTTATGATGGCGGTATTCGGAATGTCGTCAGTAGCCATAGGGATTTGGTTATACGCTTTAACCAAGTCGATTTTCGAAAACACAGTTGTACGTCTCAAGGTAGCTGTCAAATCGTGAATGTGAGGCAACGGGTAACGAGCGGGAATGGTTTTCGCATTCAATCGCCGATAGTCACCAGTTGGACGCCAATCGTTGCTGTCCTTTTTAGGGACTATGTGCAACGGAGATGCCCATGGGCTGTTTGACGGTCGTATGATTCCTAACTCTGTCATATGGTCGACCTCGTTTTCCGCTAACCTTAGCTTTTCGGGGGCTAGTCGTCGTGCTTTAGAGAATACAGGTGGTCCTGTAGTCGTGATGTGATGTGTAACGTTGCTGGTTACATACGGTAGTTTCGGTTGCGTTTGCTGAATCCCAGGATACTTATCGAGTAGCGGTTGATAAAATGGGTCTATCGTATGCTTGATTGTAATTGAAGGTAATCTGCCACCAGGAGAAGTTACGCAAACAGATAAATTAGTGTTTCCATCTACTGGCCTCCGTTTGCGAGTATCGATGAATAGATTGTGGTGCTGCAGAAGGTCTATACCAATGGTTGGTGTAGATATTTCTGCAACAACGAAGATCCGGTGTATGGGTTTGCGTAAACCCACGTTAAGATAAACGTACCATTTACCGTATGTGGCGATAGGTTTTCCGTTTGCCACCTGTAGATCTAAAACCGATTCTTGAAGTGTTGGGATATTCAGGAAAATATCCCAAAAATTATTCTGCCAAATCTAATGCTATCCTTGGACTTGAGATGGTATCATTTTCTTATTGGTCAGTATTTATTTCAAGTGTCATTTTCCTACTGGTCAGTATTGTACAGTGTTACCTTCTATTTTATGGTACGATGTGGTCTGCTTGATTGGTATATAAACAGAGTATACTTGAAATATAACGATTCATATCTCCGAGTCTGAGATTTGAGTTCTGGACTCAACTGGCTGGGCTAGACAGGGAAGCGGGACCAATCAGTACCCTAGGCCGTTCTTACGCGTTTGCGCGTCTTTAATAATTCGCTGTCTTCTAATCACAGTTATAGCATGAAGCCGGTCGTCAGAATTTGCAGGAAGAACGCTAACGTCTGCGCCAGTAACGACGAAGTAACGAATTTTCGTTATCACATCTGTGACGTATAACAAACGACTATATTCGCCGCTAGCGAGTGCCCGAATTGTTTTTCGCGTCGGTCGATTTTGAGCTGGGAAAATTGCGGGGTTTTCTGCAATTTCTGGAAGACTTTCCGTACTGGTTATGATACCAGCACCAATTGGGGTTATCAGTCTCCCGTGGTCTGGAGACAGATCGCCTACGTGAAACGCTCCTTCACGGTGCCGTTTACGGTCGTTACGAAATCTCAGATAACGTGTCAGCGAATGACATAGTTCCGTAATGTCATCATGAGTCGTTTGAGGCTTCTCTTCGACTGAAAAAACCTCGGCATTAGAAGATCTCGTGATTTCTAAGATGCAGTCGGAAGATGCAGCCAGCTCGTCTAAGGCGTAGTTTTGAAACGAGACCGACACAGCTTGCACCTGTTGAGGAAGTTTGGGTAAGAAAAGTTGTTTGACTAGGTCATCAGCGAAGGTTCTTCGGCCGCTAACCTCTCATTATTTGCAACATGTCTGTCTCATGACCATGTTGCAGGTCGATGTTATTAAGGAGTTGGTTTGATGATTAGGAGTATTTGAATTATAGTACGAACTAAGAATCCCATAAATAACCTAATTGGATCAAGAAGTACTAGATAAGCACGAACGAATGTACTGATTTTGGGATTCGTAATCAAGCACTCAACAAGTATAAAGGAATCATTAGTTCATTCAAACACCACAGTTGGTCTAACGTTTGTCGATTGGTCAGGTCTCTCTGCGTTTAAGTGTTTCGTAGGGTTCCGAAACATTACTAGTAAGCATGCTAGGTGTTACGTACCTGTTGAATTCGCGCGGTAGTGCTTTGACTACTGCGAGGAATTGTGAACGTGTGTCGATCACGCCGTGCTCGGAGAAGTCGGCTTCTGCTTAGCAGAACCAGGCTTCGATGTTGTCTAACCAGAAGGGCATCACCTGGAACGAAGGTGGGGACATAGTCTTTAGCTTAAGTACCTTGGGTGTCTGTTCCGTCATGGTGCGATATCACGTACGAGAATGAACGAATGAATATATATATATATATATATATATAAAACACGGGGGTGGGGAAATACCACAATATATAAAAAATTAATATAACTCAGTAATATACAGAATTCCAAAAAGGAAGAGACTCACAGTTTACAATCTGGTATTTGATTACTGCATATATGCCTGTATACAAGCGGCTAGTTCCTGTCTAAAAAAAGTCAGTGAACTTTTGGAAAAGGTCCAGAGGACAGAAACCAAGCTGATTCCCGGAATAGTTAAGCTCCCGTATGATGCTCGACTGGCCAAGCTAAACCTATTCCCGTTGTCATATCGAAGAACTAGATGCGACTTGGTTACAGTCTCTAAATTGCTTAGTGATAAATTTGCACCTGATACGCCCTCATTTTTCTTGTCTCCCAAATCAGAGAATTTAAGAGGACACTCCAAAAAGGTTCATAAGCCCAGGACTAATTACCTGTCAGTTGGCTATCTACTTTTACATCGAATCATCAACGAGTGGAATTCATTACCTCAGCACGTGGTTGAGGCTCCATCCGCCGACTCTTTCGAAAGAAAGTTGGATCATCTGAGAGAACACCATTACCAGGACTAACACAGGCCATCAAGCCTCTTGTCCTTTCCAAACTGAAACTGATAATACCACTGAACATTCGTCCCATATCATTCATTATTACAATGGCATCACTTTCGTTAATCGACGGATGGACGTAATTAGACATAAGGTGCCTGGACTCAGACCAAATTTTAAAATGTCTTGATTTGACCGCTTCTGCAAAACTTCACGAATTTTCGGTGTGACGCACCAATCATCTTACTATAGCTTGACCTTCAAGTGCTCGCAAACTTCACCAGTGGACGATACCCTTGAAGCTTCTAGTCTCTGTATCGACATCTAATGCTGCAGGCGATTTATCCATATGAAGGTCCTTTTCCCGGAACCTTGAAGTTTTCTCGAGACGAAATATTTTTAGATATCCGAGAGGAAAACGAGTATTGGCGTTTGGTTTCCAAAACCGACGGGACTCTAGGATGTGTCCCTACTAATTTTGTTAAGCGATATGAGGTAATTTTTCATGCAACATTCGAATTAAATTAAAAGGCTAAAGATGAGGATTTTGTTCAGCAGTTAGCCAAAAAAGCTCTAGCGAACCTAACAGCCAATTCGTCGGAGGAACTTCAGGGGAAAGAAGACTTAGTGAAGTAATTCAACTTCTCTACATTGCTGTTTTAGACGTTTGCTTCAAATATCCAAGAGGAAACCAGACGAAAGTACAGCACTTTGTGGAGAACTTTCTGGGCTAAAAATAAGTGCTCCTGAAAAACCTGTAACTATGACTGGAACAGGTTGGTTGTACTTTCCTATACTTCTGTCTTAGCATCCGGGTTGCACCATCTCTCACACTAAGTTGACTTAAAAGATAAGACGTTAACACCAAGGTCATCGTTCAGTTTACGATAAGCCGATGTTAGATCACCCCGTATTCTACGGTAAGGTAACGGAAATAAGTTGGTGTGTCTCAGTCTGTCTTCGTAAGACAGAGCAGATAGACCTTTCAACATCTTAGTACATCGTCGTTGGTTTCTTTCCAGCATCTCTGCTTCGTACATGAAACAAGGACTCGCTGCTTGAATCCCATATTCTAAATGTGGTCGCACATAAATCGGGTATAATGATTTAAAATTTTCGTCATCTAAATACTAGAAAGACCTATGAATAGACCATAATACCCTATAGTCTTTCGCAGCAGCTGCCTTACAGTGACTGGTGGTTTTGAGATCACTGCTTAATATGACTCCTTAATGTTAATAGTTTCTTACTTTGGGTAGCACGAGTCCACATATTGTATAGTGATACGATTCATCATAGTTATTTAATTGCATCACCGCACTCTTATTAGGATTCGCTTCTAGTGACCACCTGTCTAACCATGCCACCATTGAGCAAAGATCATCCTGTAATACTATTCTATCCGACATACTGTGTATGGGTCTCCAGTGAAGAGTAGAACGGATGATTTTGCTACAGTTGGTAGTTCATTTACATAAAGTAAAAAAAAGAAGAGGACCGAGGATTGTATCTTGGGGAACTCCACTTTTTACAGGTACTCACAAGGGGGGAGCTCCATTAACCCTTACCCTTTTGTCTCCTGTCATGGAGAAAGTTACTTGTCTAGTCTACGACTGTATATTGGATTCCAAAACGTTCCAGTATGGATTTAAGACCAGAATGGGAGACCTTATCGAAGGCCTTACTTAGATATATGAAGATCACGTCTACAGGAATATTCCGATCTTTTACAGCAGCCCGATCTTCTCTTGCAATGAGAAGATTTGTCAAGCATGATAGGCCTCTCTGAAAACCATGTTGTTCCCTGGAGAAAAGATTATGCCGTTCAACATAGTTTATAACAGATATCAATGATTTTTTCCATCAGTTTTACAACCTCACTAGTCAAGCTAACGGGTCTATAGTTACTAAATCCCTACTCCCAGCCTTATACATCAGACTTATTATAGCGTCTTTCAAGTCTCTGAGCAGTCTGGACTGCCCAACTCATGTCATATTATTGCTTTATATTCTCATCACTAAATTAATATTCGTAGTTGTGAAATAACTCGTTCGTAGGGAACTATGCGGATATGTCGTGTACTTTTATTTGAAGTATTAATAATGTATGGTGAAGTGAGGTTTCTTTCTACTCATTTAATGTTCAATTGGTAACTGTAAGTTAATATTGTCAAGTTAAAAATATAGGCTTTTTGCCGTTATTGCCCAATTTCTATGCGCCTTTTATGCCCGATATAAAACACAGTCAGACAGAAAGTTTGTAGCTTAAGTTTCGTTCCATTGTTGTAGTTCGTTTGCAAAGTACAGCTTCGTATACTAGATGCGCATGTTTACCAGGTTAGTTTGTAATTTGAACTCGATCCAATCAAAACCTGGGACCAGAAACAAACGGCCGTTGCTACTATATTATTACCGTAAAGTTTATAAGATGAATAAAAAGGTGGAAACGGTAGTACTACTATTTGCCATAAGAAGAAAACTAGTCACGGAAGGTATGATTTAAAATGACAATAAAGGGAACAAGTGTGCGAAATACTATCGGGACTCAAGGTCTGAGGGAAGATAATGAATAAATGATGTGCCACTACGATTTTGAACCTTAAGATTTCCCTGTTTTCTTAACGGTTGCGCCGCCAGGTAGCATCATCCTTTAAGGTTGGTGTTAGTTAAACATACGTTACATATTTTAACTGAAAGGAGTACCAAAGAAGTACATTAACCTTGTAAAGGCTCTCTACTCAAACACAACTGGTCGAGTGAGAGCTTATGGCGAACTGTCATCAGAATTGATTACCTCAAGTGGTGTTCGTCATGACTGTCCACTCTCTACATTCTTGTTTAACTCTGTCGTTGACGTGCTTTTAGAGATGGCACTTTCCTCATCTAAATTTCCAGGGGTTGAACGTCTACCGGGAGATTCACTTTTTGACCTAGAATATGCCGATGACATAGTTCTATTTGGTGAAGACGCTGACAAAATGCAGTCTTCTGACCACTCTAAACAACAATGCAAACATGTTCGGGATGCGATTCTCCCCCTCGAAATGCAAAATTTTGCTTCAGGATTGGGTTGCATCGACACCCGAACTAATGATATGGAGTGAAGTAGTTGAGCGTGTCGACCGCTTCACTTACCTTGGAAGTCTCATCAGCCTTTGTGGTCTGGTGCGTGACGAAATCTCAGCAAGGATACAGAAAGCTCGATTAGCTTTTACCAACTTGCGTCATTTATGGCGTAGGCGAGATATCCGTCTATCAACCAAAGGACGTGTTTACTGCGCAGCAGTTCGTTCCGTCCTACTTTATGGCAGTGAAACATGGCCGGTAAGAGTAGAGGATATTCGTAGGTTACTAGTATTTGATAAAAGGTGTCTTCGAAGCATTGCTCGTATATCCTGGGACCACTGAGTAAGTAATGCAGTTGTTAGGAAACGGGTACTAGGTAAGGATGGCAAATCAATTGATGAAGTAGTGAAACTTCATCAGTTGAGATGGCTGGGACACGTGTTACGTATGCCCAACGACCGACTGCCTCGATGTGCGATGTTTTGTTGTATAGGAGTAGATTGAAAGAAAGCTAGGGGCGGCCAGACCAAAACATGGCACAAGTCCATGAAGTCACTGACAAGTGGACTGAGTCATGTTGGTAGGTGTAGACTACCTGGTTGGGGACCGCGAGATGATAGCAACCGATGGTTAGAGACCCTGAATGACATGGCTCAAAATCGTTTGCAATGGCGCAGGTGCATACACTCTTTGTGTTCTCCCAAATTTTGATCTCCTTATTCCTCCCTGTCTCTTTTTTTTTCTTCCCAAATTTATTTCACTGTATTATACTCTTTAAATAACATCTCCAAACACTAATTGTCCTGATTACTGCTTATACTCATTACCTCTACCACTACGTGATCTGAATGGACCACTGCATCTGTGTGCTAATGTGGTATGGCAACTCGAACTGATGTACGTACGTACGAAGTTCTACGTTGTTACTGACTGACTGACATATTTTAACCGCATTAGTTGACAGAGATTCACTTGCTAGTCTTTACGCAGTACCCTGTACTTTGATATAATAGGGGATAAAAGGTGAACTACAAAATCATAACAAGAAGGTTCATACGGCATGTAAGTAAATAATCAGGTACATTGCTTAGTTAGTCCCAGTTTAGATGGAGATCTGGCCAAGAAAAACTTTCAGTTAAGTGACCTTATCTTACATCCATGGAGAATGTGATTGAAAACTCCTGGATCGCTACCAACCTCCATTATGAGCTTTATATGGTATCTTTTTAAGTCGCGATGTTTCATTACCCCAGTTAAGGGGTCGTGAGTGACCAACATACATTCCTTACATCTATCTTTTATATCACAATACCATGCCATAAATTTGATGCCACTCCACTCTCACCTAGCTCCAATCTTGGCAGATAGTAGTTGTAGAGATCTCTAGGATGGCTTGTGAAGTAGAACCATGTCACCGAGTTCGGTGTTTAAAGCTGGTGTCACCAGTCGAATTATCGTCACCACCCAAGCACCTCGGCGTTACTGCCTTGACTTTGTGAATGGATGGCGACTCTCTAGAGATAACGATGATCGGAAACAGTCACCAGACATCCACAACTCGATCATCATACAGTTATTCGACAAATGTCCGTCACTCAGTATACTTATCCTTTAATAACGAGACTTTCAGAGTAAATAAGTTGTTCAACACTACTACGTCACTTCCCATATACAAACTGAGCAACAACACAAGCCAGTCTTCAAACAACAGTTGGAATTTGGGGGGATCGAAATACATCTCAAGCACTTTTGCATTGTTGCTTGAGGTGTCCGAAACACTTCATTTTATGTTTGGTTTTCATTTGTAAGGTCTCCTCTGTCTAAATAACTTATGAATTTTTGTACCAATAGTGATAAATGTTCCATTTACGACCTTTTTTTCTAGTTGGATTAATACCTGGAAAACCTTCCCCTGCTAAACAAAGCATTGGTTTACCAAAGAATTTTGAATCCTGCTTAGTGGATACAATCAGATTTGGTACAAATTGCTCATATGCAGATTGTCGATCTGTCTATTATGCAATTGTTGATTTACTGTCCACTATTCCGGAGCTAAAACAAAATTTTCAAGGCTATAATTCAGTAATGAATAAACGTTTTAAGCAAATCATACCAGTTAAAAGTTAACGCTGTTAATAAGTATTTGTTTTCTGTTTGTGTAGACTTTGGTTATGTATGGTAATTGATTATTGACGAAATAAATCATATTCTATGTATAATCACTTGAATATCACCATTAGTGAAGCGACTACAGTACTCTGACGATCGCTAGCAACGGAACGCATTTCGGTGTGCTTTTTACTCTGTTCGACAATGAGTTCTCGCCAGGATACTTATACTTCTAAAGCCTTGGTTTCTCAAAAACGAGAAACGAAGCAGTGACTATTTTATGTTTGTCATCTATATCCACTTTATGCTGAATGTGTTCACTAATACAAGTGTAAATAGCCAATACTTCACACCAAATATTTACCTCGAAATATATTGAAAAGGCATAATTGGCAAGTCGAGTAACTAATATTTCACGCACCTCTGACGTAATCATGGTTAAATGGATAAAATCAAATTTGAATAGTTGAATTCATAAGTCGACATAAGCTAGACCACCATGGAAAACCTGGAAGCACTGGTAATCTAGCTTACATCGACTCACAAATTCAACTATTAAAATTACTACAATCTCCACAAACCCCATTCTGATAATAAGAATCAAATTTATCAGTTTAAAATTCTATTAGTTTCTCTTTGCTCTTAGCTTAAAATATTTTGGTTCAATTGTTCTTCTTTTCACCCATTGCTAAATTTCAGTTTGAACCAAATAAATGTTGCAAGTAGCTAACTAAAAAACTTTAAAGATAAAAACAGGATTATCTTATTTTTGACTAGTCATAGATTTATAATCTTGACGTTAGTAGAATATATGTTTAAAAATACGAGTGTCTATCAGAGAGCAAAGTATAAACTTGGTTTTACTGATTACCTTTCACTTAAATGGATCTTAGAGATTGACAAAAGCACCAAATGTTTTGAGCTTTTTTTATCTTAAGACAAGAAACGGGGTATAGACAAATCGCTCTAAAGTGACCTTTCGTCAGATATCTTACAAGTAACTCCTTGCTAACACATTTCTGATACTACAAAAGTACCAACATCACAAAGCTTCTGGTCATCCAATGCTCACCACTATGTTTAGTTATTGGAGTGTGGTAACTGTTTTATTACAGATGTTTAATTGGACAATCCAGAAATTGAACTGGACGATTTTTGACCTCCCAGTCAATAGGATCGTATGGCGTACTAATCCGTCACTACACTATACCAGCAAATATTAAATTAATAAAGTGTAAAACTAGGCATTAACAATAATGGCACCTGGAGTAGTAGAAAACTAAAATAGATACGGTCGACAAATAATGATTTTAGTAAGTAAAAGATAAATAGTGGGTCTACATATGTTACCTATGTCTGTTACAAGCATTAAGGTCTCTGCCTGTCAACTTTTGATGTCACAGACTCGAAATAGAAAACACGCAGTTCAAGAACTTATATTTGAACCTTATATTCCCCCATACCCTTACTTAATTACATTTTGATCTCTTCAAAAGTGTCCTTTGATCTGCCAAATCTACGTCTGACTAACTACCGTCACTAATAAAATACATCTAACTTAGCGCCCATTCAGATTTTAAGCTCTTTCTTAATAATTTCATGTGGAATTCTCCAAGTGATATCTCTAGTTATATTTTCCAAAGTATTTTTTTGACTCCACCTGTTGAGACGTAAGTGTGGTTTGTCGCACAACTTAGCCGGGTTTTAATCTCCTTGTTGTCACAATGAGGAGTACAAATAAATCGTCATCAGTCACAGAATTGCTTATGACTAACCATTTTGTTTTAGACCTCATATACAGTGGAAACCGAACTGGATTATTCACGAAGTCCTGATTGGTATCTTCTTAAAATTAAACTTGGATATTTTGAATCCCGACAAAGTAATGATCAAGAATGTAATTGGGGATTGCATGAGGACAGCCATGAAATCGTTGAACGCCTAAATGAGCTAAATACTCTTCTGGTAATTATTATTGTTTCTGTTATATTTCAACTAGCTTTCACTGTCCCATTTTTTGATAAACACTACTATCTTTAACAGTGTTTTTAGTTTTTTACACAATTGCGATTGTTCTAGTGTGTAGAATTATTACAATTGATTTTTAGACAATACTTTGACAGTAACTGCTGTTTTAATGCAACCTTCCTCATTTGTTTGATCTGTATCAGATTCCAGGAAGTTGTTCTAGTCAAAGTTCTAACATTTTCAAATATTTCTTATATGGGTTGTTACATGCAGTATCCTAGGTTCCTTCACGCAATCCGGCTCAATAACGTGAATCACTAAAGGGTCGGTCCATTGTAAATAACCATATGTTGACTAACCGCTTACCATTTAGTTGGAAATTCTATTATAAAGAGATGAACAAGTATTTAAGTATATTGTAAAGGATATTTAATTCACACTTAGCGCAACTCACTAACCGGTCCCAGCTCCATGTACGCGGCTTTGATCCAAACTTAAAAGGCGAGGATTGATGGAAGTATCTAGCTGTCGAAACCGAGATCAATAAGGCCAAGTCCTAATTTACGACTCCCGATCTTTATTATTTACACTGTATTCAGTGGTACATCAATCTAGTAGCCCTCATCTGATAAAAGTGATTGCATATCATTCAAACACTATTTGACCATCATTACTAGTTTTGGCAGGTGCTTATGGCTGTCGGTTTTGTTTTCTGTTGAGATCTTGCTCTAGAAGAATGATAATTTATTTTAGACATGTTTGTTGGAAATTTTCAGTTTTTCGACCCGCTAATCATTTAGATTTTATATTAAGTTAGTTCACTTTTATTGGAAAAGGTGTCATATTCATTTCCATTTATTATCATATTTTAGGAAAAAGCTGATCCAAAGTTAGTTGTTTGCTATCTACATTCGGTAAAATTTCTACCAGTGCTCTCTCTTGTTGGACTATATCAACGCGAAACCAGGAATGAAATAAGATCTAAGCTCCTTAGATCTGTCGGTATTTTGTGTTCCCTGGATGCCTCTTGCATTCGTATTTGCCTTGGGTCAGTTCTACCAACTGAGCTTATTCGTGAGCTACGAGGTTCTTCACCTTGTGGTAATTTACCCTTTTTCTTCATTTTATCTTTTTCGCGAAGTGTAAACTCCATTTTCGCTCTTTTCACAAAAACATTATTCTGTCACAACAAAAATGATTACGCAAATGTTTATGCTGAAAGTTAAGTCATAAAAGAAAATTATATTTTTTAAGATAGCCCTTAAAATTAAGTAGTTCCGTTTCGTCGCGAATTTCTTCGTCACAGAAATAACCAGAACTAATTTTTAAGTGTGAATGTTCCTAATATAAGTACTTAATACTACTGTGCACTAAGCTAATAGTTCTCAGATCCTATGAATGGGACTGCTTCTATCCTCTTTTTGAGAAGCTTTTTTGATAAAGAATTGTCTAGATCCAAGTTACTTCAATCATATACCAATTGAACTTGATGATTATTAACTGCAGAGTTTTACTAAACTGACAGTACCTCATATACTCAACAAGATTACTAGTTATTAATCATAGGTTCTCACCTCGCTCTTCCTAATTCGGTTTGGGCGGTCAGCAGCATGGCTCAAAATCAAGCTCGTAAACTTCTATTTAGTAAATTAGTTAGACTATTATTTTTACATAGTCGATATTGACAGTCATCTTGAACCATACCTCGTCGTACTTATTTCATTTTGTACTTCTGGTTATTATCCCTATTTTTTTAGAGATAATCTAATCTATAGCTTAGCAGCCATCTTTTGATAGATATTGAGTTGAAGGTTTTCTCATTCAGAATGTAGTAGCTTTAATGCATGAGAATACCTCAAATAATTGTAAGGCAAAACTCACTAATGGTCGTTTTGTATTCGAGTGATTGACAGTAGCGGGAAATGTCTTGTTATGTGTCGGGTAGAGATTGGAAACTTCATGCACATGCTTTGTAGAAGTAAACCGAGCGCCGATAATGATTACCGTCATGGAGTTTTTAAAACGAATTAAGATGATGCTGAGAAAAAAGTTCTTTTTAGTAATATTATTTAATAAAGCTCGCGTCTTTCAGTTCTATATACCCTTCTGACTATCAACAACTGATTACAAAACAATCATCAGTTTCAGTCACAACAAAGATCGCGAATTCTAGTCATGCTCTCCTCTACCACGTATTTCTTACAAAAACCTTTTGCCGAACTAGTCAGGCCGATCCAAAAAATACGAATCGAAACGTGTAAATATCATCATTAATTTAATCTCTCATCCTACTATGATCCATATCTCTTAGTTTTTTTAGTCTTTTTGATCACTTTGTTCCTTCTTATTTATTTAAACACACAGACATTAGTACACGGCGGTACCAAGCAGATGTGCGCAACATAAGTCACTGGATTTGTGTGAGGGCTGGGATACTGCCCGGGTGCCCAAACCGAAGCAGGTGGTTTTCTTAGGAGGCCACACCCCGAGCCTTTGACCTAAAGATCTGATCCACAAGGCAGTGGAGCAAAGTCAGGTTTTGCAGTCCCATAGTAACCGGTGACCAATGGTTCGTTCATACTCCATTTGTCCCTTCAGGATCCTGGAGCCCATGTGCACCATTGGTTTGGAATCAGGGTTCCCCAACTCCCCTAGGTGGACTCTCTGTGTCCACCGACCCGTTTAAACCGCCGGACATTCGTTTCTTGATTGTCTGTATATTTGCTAAGTAGACATTTAAATTTCACTTCGTAACTACCAATTATTTTCATCCTATTGCCTCATTATTCTCTAGGGTACTAAACAACTTTTGTTTGATGTTTTAAAATGTCTAGTCACTTTGTTAAGAATGCAATACTCAATTTTATCGTCGATTGATCTATATGGACTGTGATTTGGCTGGTTTAGTAAATCATTTCATTTGGAGAAAATTTCTGCCGAATTATCTTAAATTTTTATGCTTAAATTAAGCATGATAACCATTCTTTAAAATGTGATTCTAGCTAATTATTTTGGATTCTCATATTTTTTTATATTTACATTTTCCAATTTAGAGATTCCACATCTTGCTTTACAGTTACGATTTCTTTCTATATTAATTAGTCAGTCTCAGACTCTTCCCGTTGACTTGTACAGTAAGTTGAATTTCTACTGTAATGTGTTCAGTTAGTCTGTGGTACAAGTAATAATTGTGAGACCAAAAGATTGCATTATTTTCTAAATGCTTTTTTTACAAAAATTTACGCTTTCTGAGTTTTGTAGCCGAAGCACTTGTTAACAACATATGGTTAAACTTTGTTCCAGAAAACGATATTTCAACACTTTTTGATCTCAAATATCTCAGCTTAGTATACTTTGGAATGCATAGGTTTTACATCATCAGGCTGGTTACATTCATTATTTGAATCGTTTATTATATGTTACTTATCCAAATATTTGAATCCATTGTTTATTACTAGAATATTTAATTATCTTTCATTCTAGGATGAAAATCCAGCCATCATGGTGTAGTAAGAATATCAATTTCATTTGTTTATGTTGGTACTGAAGTATTTATTCTTAAAGAGTTTAAATCACTTTCTCCTATCGTTTACTAGATATTGTGTGTGAATTTGTTGACATCTTATCCTGTTTCCTTTTTTAGGTATAGTAAAGTGTTAGATTATTGAAAATCGTCAATTTTGTGAGTCCCTCACTTTCTAATGAATTGAAACCCGAATATAAGGCCTAATTCCTCCCGTCATATCAATGTGAGTAGGTAGTATTAAGACGATCGAACATACGTTTCTAAGGTTCATTCGTCGGATTTTATTCCGAAGTCCTGCATGTGGTATAATGACGTTAAACTTGTTATGACGCGGGGAGTCCTAGATCTGATACTGGCACATAAAGTGCTACGTGCTATCCCCCTCCCAACTGACTACTTACGTAAGAAAACAACAGGGGAGGAGAACGTTTATTGGGCTACCAAATAACATGCACAAATACTCAAATATATGCATTCCTACCCTTTAGAAAACCAATCTATTTCTTAGCCAATGGTATGCATATCTGTCCTTTGGGTCATTTCTGATTGTCATCAAGTGACCTCATTTGGTTACCTCTGACTGGCTCATTGTATCACGACTTACTCTTTGGGTTATTATTTTTATTTATTTGAACACTTAAATATTGGTGCAAGGGGGCACCAGATATTTATGCGCCACACAAAACAATGAGAATGGGAAGAGAAAAAGAATGTAAGATGAGTAAAAGCAAAAAAGAGAACAATAATAACTACAGATTAGTGTATGGTAGTGTAATAATAATAATGGGGGGAAACGGAAAGTACAGTCAGAAAGAATTCTTCCAGTTATGGAAGTTACAACCACTTTTTATGAAGAAGGTTACAGCAGGATCGCCACTGGCTTCTATTTTGAGCCATATCTGATAACGTCGCTAGCTACTGTGTTGCACCACCCCTAGGACCCCAACCAGGGAGTCGTGAAGAACCAACAGAAGCCAGCCCTTTGCAGCTTTCTTTCATACCACGACACCATGTCATACACTGACCACCTATCCGCTTTTTCCAACCAGTCCCAGAGTCGGCAAATAATGAACAACGTGGAATTCTCTGGGACGACATTCGTAGAACATGTCCAAGCCACCGAAGTCGATGTTTCAAGATGGTAACACCAATTGGATTATCGTCTCTGCGCCCGAACACACGATGCCGAATCTCTGCATTACTACCATGGTGTTGCCACTGGATGTCAGCAATCATTCAGAGACAACGATGATCAAACACAGAGTCGTCTAACATCCTCAACTCAAAGAGGCCAGGTTTCATAAGCATACAGAAAAACTACTCTCACCGACGCGTTGTAGATCCGACCTTTTACAGTCAGACTGACATCACGAAGGCGTCAAAGATGGCCCAGATTAGCATACGCCGCTCTGGCTTTCACTATACGTGCATTGATCTCATCACTCACGCCATCACCAGCACTTATGCAGCTACCCAGATACACGAACTTCTCGACTACTTCTATCTGCTCACCACCCAGGGTGAGTGCAGGATCAAGGTCCCGCCGGTCTTGTAGAAGTACTTTGTACTTCGTAGGTGCAAAGCACATACCGTACCTACGGACATTGATTGCCAACTGATTAAGTGCGGATTGTATGGTTTGGGCATTATCGCACAGTAAGACAATATCATTCGCATACTCAAGGTCGAGAAGTCTTTCTTCAGCTAGTACTACGATATCTGTCGAACGAACTTTCTGGATAAGAACAGTTAACTGGTGGTAGAATTCATCCTTGATTACATCCGGGCTGCAATCTGCCGGGGCATAGGCGGAAACGATGAAAAGACATCATTTCTCACGCCGATTTCTCACTTTGATGGAACTTTCTAGTCTAACAGCACATAACCGACTGTTAATGGAGATCCAGTCGATTAGTGCTGCCTCATCCCGAACGCTTAGTGCGACACCAACGCCAGCAAGGCCAGACGAAGTTGCGACAGTATCCCCGGATAAGCACACGTAAAACAAGCCTTTTGAAGTGAAAGATGGAGAGCAAATTTGTAGTACTTTACCAGAGTCTTGAATACGCGTCTTGGATAGACAACAGACGTCGATATTAAGACTTTCTAAAGACATAGCCAGTCCTGTCTGTTGTCTGACCTGCATAAGTGTGCGAGCGTTGAAGGCAGCCAGTTTGAATGGTGTACGTGGTTTCAGAAAAAACTGTTTCAGCAGTCGCATTCGGTGGTAGCATTCAATTTTCGACCAGTCAGTGACTCGAGATCGCTTAGATAGAACAGAGTTTCCACCATGGGCGAGCTGCTGTATAAGTTGAAAAATAAGGATACACAAAGTGGGAATAAAAGAGAGTGAATAAATGACGTAGTAAAAAAGGGAAGAAAAAGAAAATGTGAACCGTCTGACTTCTAATCGAGACGAGAATAGCATTTTCAGTAATTATCGTCATTTCATTTTATTTGTGTGTGGGCTGTGACACTGCCCGGACCGAAGCAGGTGGTTTGTTTAGGAGGCCACACCCCGAGCCTTTGACCTAAAGATTTGATCCACAAGGCAGTGGAGCAACGTCAGGATTTGCAGTCCCATAGTAGCCGGTGACCAATGGTTCGTTCATACTCCATTTGTCCCTTCAGGATCCTGGAGCCCATGTGCACCATTGGTTTGGAATCAGGGTTTCCCAACTCTCGGCTCGGTTAAAGCGCCGGGCATTCGCTTTTCGTCCTTCCGATTCTGTAGACAACACCCCCGCCATAAGAAGGCAGTAAGTTGGACTTCCCTGACAGAGGCTGGATACGCGTGGTCGTGCGAGAGTGCTTCGAGAGGGAGGGCGGGCTTTCCTCACTCTCGGCCGTACCAGGGGATTTGGGGTAAGTTTCACAAATAAAAATAAACCAGAACTCATAAAGTATTCATTGTTGTTTACTCACACAAACCAGAATGACTTTTTCTTGTTGCAATTCATTGCTATATTTACAATACGTCATGTAGTAAATGAGTATATTGATATTGCTTTCTTTTTAGCATCACTTGATCAAGAACTATTCACTCACCTCATTAATTTATGTGATACTTCAAAACAACAGTCAAACTTAATTGATTTAGGGAATCACTCTCCTAGTAATCAAATCCTAATAACGGATGGATTGGATCCGTTTGAACAGAATGGCGGTCAGTATTACATGTTTTCTTATGCAGTGGCGTTGTTTTTGTTAGCATGCAACTGGCACTTTTGTTCAGTTTATGCGCTAAATTCTTCTGAAACAAGTTCGCCAAATTCAACAGACACCAAGACACCGTTATTAAAAGCGTTACTAGCCAAACCTGTGTCATCACGTTTATTCCTTGAAATAATTATTCAGACATTTAATCGTCACTGTAAGTTGTAATTGTTATCAATGTATTGTTTTTAGATTACATGATTCCTTTCTGTAATTAGTTCGCTTCAAATAATAGGTTGTAAAATGAAAACAAAGGTGTTTTCATATTTACACACTTTTCTAACAAAACAAGGTCTATAGGTATCATTACCAAGGTCTGACTTAATAATTTCGAATAAATTGAGCATGGGGTAAATTGTTATTAATAACCAAATGAAAATTAATCCAAGTTTAAATAGTACAAACGGAATAACACAAGAATATTGTGATCAGTCAAAAAACAGGTCTGAACAAATCAATATCATGTCATTTCGGTCAAGGTGATTCATAAGCGAAAGATAAATTTGTGTATGTGTGCACAGTTAAGGAACACAATTCGGAATACTTTAATTCGCTTAAAAGAAAAAACCCCTTTTATGTCAACACAGAACTGTCTACAAATTAGGTTGTGTCGATTGTGATGCCTTCTATATTGGAGAGTCATCTCGTGAAATCTTGACTGGAGCCAAAGAATATATTTGGTACACAAAGAAACCACTTAATCACCCCGTAGAACTGGATAGACTTCAAATTAAATCAGCAATAGCAGTTCACACCATTTTCAACAACCACCAAATCGATTTCAAAAATATTAAAATATGACAAAGGTTTTTCCAATTACAAAGAAAGGAGAGTAGCTGAAGCTTTCCATTTAATGCTTAATCCTACTGCTCTCAATATAAAAGAAGGCTTCACTATACATCGTACTTGGACTATCTATCCTAGCCACCTAGTCTGACATTATTCACAGTTCACACTATTATCATTTAAGAGGAAGAATGTATTTGTAAAATCTCAGCGAATGAATTTGAAGTAAATCCAACGTTTCGCCTGGCAATCTGGTCCAAACTTTTTCAAGGAAATATAATCAAATATAAATGTTATCTCACTATATTTTTCTAATCATTGACCTATTTCCGATTATGTGACATTGATTTAAGCCTTTATTATTCTTATTAATACTAGCACACCTGTCATCACACTATTAATTTGTACTTTTCACCTATTATGTAATCTTTTCTATTGTTTAAAACAATTAATCCCTTTGATTGTTATCATTGACCCATAAACTACCTTGATTGGTTTAATAATTTCGTATATGCATATAAATATTACTGTATATTAGAGTAAAGCCTGATGAGGATCTAATTGAAAACAATATTGTTCGCTTATATATGTTGGTCTAAATATAAATAGGTACATGGTTCTCTGATTCATTGTGTACTGAATAGGTCATCCAATCAACACTCAAAGTAGGTATTTGGATTCTTGTGTGAGAGACATGTGGTGTGAAACGAAAAGTGTTGAAATAACATATTGTGTGTGAGAAATTTCATCCACTATATATTGTCTTTGGTCAGTGAATATTAAGAAAACATATAATTTTTATATATGATATGAATAAAAAATATCACAGCATGCATAAAATGAAGATAAATAGACAAGATAAAAGAATAAATTCAAAGAGGAAGAATGTATTTATAACTGAAAGTTTGTTATTTTAATGTTCCAGTCAGTTGTTCAACATATTCAAATATGATAACTGATTAGAACCGTTGAATGTAATTTACGTTATTCAAACAATACGGAGTTCAGGTTTACTTTATTAATCATTAGTTGCCATGGGACAGTTAATTGTATTCCATCTCTCATATTAATACTGTTTAGATTTACCCATATATGTAGTGCGTCGGCTGTTAAGAATTATTTATTTTATTGCTTTAAATAGGGTTATGAATTACAACCTTATTTTCATAGCTATAGTTTGAAATCAAAGGGCTTATAATTTAGTCACTTGTTTTTATTAGGGTCATTAAAAATTGGCTTCATCCTTAACTATGTACATACTTTAATAACGTTGTTATATGAGTTTCAGAGAAAGTGACCGGTATGATAAATTTCAGACTGAGTTCACATAAACAGTTGTCAAATTTTTATATATTACAATGGTTAGTATGCTTATTTAAGAGGAAAATTCAGTGTATCTGTTTCCTAACCATTCATGATTTCGTGGTTTTCTTTCGTAATTTTAGTGGATCCAATCTTCATGGTTACGTTTTTACCAAACCATAAAAATTGCGATTCAGCAAATAATTTAACACAATGGGCTAGCTTTGCTCGATTTGATGCTACTTGGACGACTTCGTCAGAAAAAAACTTGGAAGATTTTATTAAAAAGTTTGAAGCTAATTCATACTTGCGTAAAAATACTCACAATGATTTGGAATATATTCAAAGTCTTTGGACTCATAATTTAGGCCAAACAGCTGAGTTGGACAGTAAACCTGTCTTGCCTGTTAATGCTAGCCTAAACACACCAAATGACAGTGTAGTAAAATTTCTCTGTGATCTATTTTCGTACTCAGATACTGGAGCTTTAATATATCAGAATGATTTGGATGTAATCATTGGAGTGATAAACCGGAGGATACGAGATGAACCAAATTCTGAAGTACGTTTTTTTAGTAGGTGATGAGTAATTCGTATTTTTTTATTACAGGTGATAAGTTGTTCTCCCATCCATGTAAAATATATTTATCCGTGAAGAGCATCTGTATTCTTTTATTTTACGGAGATGCTAGTTAGTTACTAAGTTGAATTCGAAAATCCACCAGCTTTCAAAAGATAGTTTGTAGCTGCGATTGCTAGTGTTTATATTTCTTGATCAAACGACCAACTATAACTATATCGAAATGTACCTTTATGTTTATAAATCCACCGTTGCGAGCTATGATATGGAGAGGCTTCATGTACATGTGCCATTAAACGTTATTAATCTTTTTCTACCTCAACTAGTACTACTTCTACGGACAAGCGATTGGTAGGGATATTTGAAACCACTCATAGTCACCTTGCTTTTATAATTGTTCATAATGGCTTCTGTTCTACGTCCCTTACATGTATGTTTATGTTCATTCTTTGTATATTTTACCGGCCACACCTATTCTTTTTAATTAATCCTGGGATATCACCTGTCAAACGTGTCATCTTATCGTAGTATCATATCTTCTAGTCTTTCGAAGAAAACAAGTACAGTTTTTTACCGACTGTCTTGTTCACGTCCGTTTTCTCGTTATAAAGAGCGAAATAAATTAGCCGTTGTACTCACTGCAACTCATATACTAACGAATATCGATGTGCATATAAAGTTTTTGTCAGACTGTCGAAATACGTCTAATGTTTAATCAACAAGTACTAACCACCAAATTTTCTTCTTAAATTATAACCAAGATAATGTTCAGCATGTTGTATTAAAAGAGTTTAGAACTTCAGACAGAGCGTAGGTTTTCTTCATGATTTACATGTTTTTTGTTGATAAGTTCGAGGCAACACAAAAACTATTGTCTTTTACAAAAGTATGTATATAATAAAGTAAAGAAATTTTTTTCAACTAGTTTTTCGTCGTTTTTAAAAAAATTTTACTCATGTTTAATTCATATTAAAAAATTGTTTTCATTCATTTCAGCATCTACCTCATTTACTGCTACTTCTTAACCTGATATGTATCAATGCGAATATTGCGAATAAAAGTTCTTTGAAAATTAACGATACCATGGAAATACTTGCACCTCTTTCACAAGCATCTCTTAGTCCACGTTGTAAAACACTGGCGATCGCTGCACATCAACAAATAAAATCGGTTATCTGTTCACCTGATAAAAAGTATTGATTGTTTATTAATTGTTAACTTGAGAAGATTTATTGATAATTCGTATTTCTGAACATTCCTTTTTTTTCTTTCACAAACAATTTTCATTATCATCAGAATTCCAAGTTTCTAAATAGAACTCTTTAAATAATACTATCCACAGAGTACTAAACATGTTTATTGTTATTATAAGAAATACAAAAATTAGTAAAACGAATTATTTTATCAAATTCAGTTATTCTGAGCGATAAACAACTATAGATCGTGCTTGGTAAGATTTCATTGATGTCCTTCATAGGTAGGTAGTAGTGGATGTAGGGGATTAGCTCCGAGATAATTCTTTAGGCTTCATATATCAATCGCCCTGATGACCATTATTAAATAAATCCTGACGGTGTATAAATTTAGAAGGCAACACGAAGCGCTGACTACAGTTTTATTATTGAATTGCACAGATCACTAAGCCACAAGCATACTAAGCGAATTAAAAGTCGAATAAATCATATATACATATACATTAATAGTCTGCGTCATAATCATTAAAATTAAAACACGAATTTCAGCGAAGGGATCTCTTTTCAACGAATTTATTATCAAGCTGTACAATCGTATATATATGAAAATTTTGTTTTTGTGAAAGTGCTAATTCCGTGAGGAAATGCGAACACAGTTAATAAAAAGGTTATAATACTAGATAACGTAATATAAATAATAACAACAATTTGGTGAACATAATAAGATGATTAAAATGTTTTTGTTATAATAATTAAAAGTCATATAGGTGTAGAAAATAAATACGGTGATATGATAAGTATTTACGAATAAAACAATGAGAATATAAGACATAAGTAAAGGTGAGAATGTAATAATAATAATAATAATAGGATAATCAAATTACTTAAGGCCAAGGTAACGATAAGACGTAATTCTTTTGTACGCATAGTTCTGGTTTAAGCTTCTGGATGATAAGAGCTTCGGCTATTTTTAAGAGTTAGATATGAAGAAATCTGGGTAGATTTGAATGAATCATATAAACAACCTTAAATTCATTTTTTGGATCTGTAGAATGGTTATAGTCGATTAGGTGTTTCAGTATAGAAACATTAACTGTTTTCCTTTCACCCTTATAGAACCAAGCTGGAATATGTTCCCGTATTCGAGTTGAAAAAGAGCGCTGGCTACGGCCAATGTACCTTGCTCCACAAGAGTAGGTGGACTGGTAGATGCACATTGAGGCGACCAGACACGGAAGCTTATCTTTTATGGATACAGAAAATAAGTTCCTACTAGTGAAGGTTATTCGCAGTTTAGCGGCGTTAAATGTTCTTCTAATAGTTGTTGTTAGACGGTTTTTGATTACGTCTGGTGTTCGATCACCTTTAAATTCCAGACTTATATAAAGGTTTTTCTTCGGAACGGAGCAACTAGGTTTCTTGTCACAACTACTTCTATTCATATTCTTTTCTATGAACCGTTCTGGGTAACCATTTTCCGTCAAGGTTTTCTTGAGGAATGCAAGTTCTTCATTAATGCATTCTTTACTGCATATCTGATGTATTCGATAACATAAAGAATGGATGAGGTTTCTCTTCCTACTAAACGGAACCCAGTTATATAAGTTGGTTAGCTGGCCATTCCATGTTTGTTTTCTAAAGATGGATCTTTTTAAAGAACCATTACTCCTTATCAGACGTACATCGAGAAAAGGAATTGGTTGGTCCCGTTCCCTTTCTAACGTGAAGTCTATAGAAGAGTGGCATGAGTTAAAGGTGTGTAAAATATCCTCTAAATCAATATTATTGTCACAAACGATAAACGTGTCGTCCATATATCTGACGTTTAGGTGAAATTGATTGATCATTGAGCTTAGTTGGTCGTTTTCTAGTTTTGCCATGAAACAATCTGCTAAAATCGGACCCAATGGAGAACCCATTGCGATCCCATCCCTCTGTCTATATATTTCATTATTGAAACGAAACTGGACATTAAAAGTACAGCGTAACAATAGTTCTTTCAAGTGTTCAGTCGGCAAAACCTAGATCTATGTTGTTGGAATCAGTATATTCACATATATAACATATCGTTTCGGTTAAAGGTACGCTAGTGAACAAAGAGTTAACGTCAAGCGATAACATGTGTTTTCCGGAAGTATTAACGTCCTTAATACGATCAATAAATTGAAAAGTATCATGAATAGAAAATTTAGATACTTGCCTTCTAACATTTTAATCATCTTATTATGTTCACCAAATCTATTGTTATTGTTATTATTTATATTACGTAATCTAGTATTATAACATTTTTATTAACTGTGTTCACATTTCCTCACGGAATTAGTACTTTCACAAAAACAAAATTTTTCATATATATACGATTGTACAGCTTGATAATAAATTCGTTGAAAAGAGATCCCTTCGTGTTTTAATTTTAATGCGTCATAATCAACCAAAATTGTATCAGCTTACAGTAGTTCTGATATTCTACAAAAGAACGCGAACATGTATATAATATGAAGGATTGGTTTAAAATATTTTCTCAGGTATACTACGTTAGTACGATTATAAGACTATTTACGTTATATTAGAGCCAGGGTTCACGATCCAGAATAGAGAACCAGAGTATAGACTAGATAATACTTTACTTAACAGAATTACAAGCAGTGAGTCCGGAGTAGAAATCAATAACAGGAAAGGAAATCACATATTTAATAGTCGGTAGGCTGTAGTTTGTCCACGATCAATATATCAAACGTGTAGCTTCCAAATATTGCGAACTGTTAAAAACCCCACCACACACTTGTCATTATACCAGATAATTCTGAAAGAAAGAATGTTTGAGCGAACAAGTGTTTTCATTGGTTTCATCATCAGGCTCTGCAGTTATAAGCCCATAATTATTGTTGCTTGCTAGTTAATTGAGAAATATGTTGAGAATGATGGGCTTTTGGTATAAATACTTCAAGGTCATATCATTTGTAAATTAGGAAGGTTATCATGATTCTCAAGTTACAATCGATAATAAAATAGATCGTGTGAATAAAATAGTGTAGTAGGAGAATTTTGTTTGGATAGTGGAGATAATGTTGTGTTCGTATAATATGTAATAAGAGATGTGTTTTCAAGGTAGTCACGACAACAAGTCCATGTGAGTTGGAAAAAATGTGTTTAGATAATGAAAGAGGTATGGTAGATATAAACACAGAAGGGATTTGGGGGTGTGTAAGGGGTTTTTAGCATCCGGTCCAGGTATATGATCGTTCAGTTACGGTAAACAGAGGCCGGGCATATCTCTTGGGTATAATTCGGTTTTTTTTAGTTGATCCAGATGTTTTCAGTTATGTAGAGGAGTCGTAATGTAGCTCCTTAAAGGGGATTACCTGGTACTTGATACAAAACAAAAAGCTTTTAATATGATGTTCATTATCCATCAAGTGAGGAGAGGTAGTGTTGTTTATGGATTTCGTTACACTCTCTCAGCCACCCCGGTATATGTTTGCTAGCACAACAGGATGAAGTCCTCTGAATACCACCTACGTTTAGTTGGTATACACACATGGAGGAGCCCATCAGCGCGCTGTTGTGTAAGTAATACTTTAGTTGAGAAAAGTTTTGTAATTGGGCCGGATTGAGCGACGACAGTTTGGTTTCCCGAAATCTGACCTTAAGCCGACAGTTCCTACTGGTCCCGGCCGTTGCTGCTACCTTGACGTGGTGGTCGGGCTTGCCTATCGTGATGAACTAGACGAGCTATCTTGCCTGAAACAATCGTTCCTCATGGTCCTACCATGCCAGAGATGTCGGTTGAAGAACGGTAAGACTAGAAGCAGCAAACCAAAAATCCAAAGTCGTACTACTGACTGTACAGAGGTGTGACGGCAGTAAGGTACTTCTTTCAGACAATCAGCAGAACAGCAATGCTGCCTTCTCACAAGGAGGGGTGGGTTCAGAAGACGTCGACCCTGAAAACACACGCCAAGCCTTGTTCCATGGATATCCGGTTTGGCGGTAATATACCAACAAGTATGGAGCCAAAACGAAAATTACGAAAAGGTTGTATGTGACCGGCTTCAAGCAGTTGTCCCTTGGGGACTGCGGTCTCTCAAGTCCCTAGGACCACCTCTAATCCAAGTTCCTTTTCAGGTATCTTCAGAAGTGCCCCTTCACGGCGTGGGCATCCGTGATAACCGCCCACATACCTCTAACAACGCTCAAGCACTATTAGAGTGGATCCCCATTAACAGTCGTCTATGTACTGTTTGGCTAGACGACTCCGTAAGAACTCTGGGGGATAGGGACATGAGTCGTTGTCTTTTCGTCGTGTCTGCCTATGCTCCCACTGACTGCTGCCCGGATGGAGTGAAAGATAAATTTTACAGAGATTTCTGAAGTTCTTCAAAAAGCTACACTCTCGGACATAGTACTCGTAGTAGGAGACTTTAATGACCAAATAGGTCGCTTAAACCAAAGAGAAAGACATTTAGATGAATATTTTAGTATCCCCGCTCAGCGAACAGATAATGGTGATCGTTTGCTGCAAATGTGCTCGGACGATCGTATATTTTTAGCAAACACTAATTTTAAGCATAAAAAGTGACATCGTTTAACATGGCGAACCCCTGTACCAAACCGACGATGAATTCAAATAGACCATATTGTCGCTCATTCTAAAATAGTTGCTTGGACTCCGACCATGCTCTAATGCGAGCACGCATTTGCTTGCATCTCACTGCACATGGAAAAACAACACTAAGATGACCCATTAAAATTGAACTCAGTGACGAGAAAGTCAAAAACAGATTCCATGAACAACTGAAGTCAGGCTTAAGTAGTTGTGAAAACGAGGCTGACACAGATGATGCATGGAAAGATATACATTAGAGATTTAAACTACAGCTACAAGAAGCCAATGCGAATCTTCGAAGTATATTGCATTAAGAGATTCTAGAAAGCTCACGCTATCAGCAAATGAACACGATAAAGAGACAAAGTAAATCAGACCAAGTACAAAGAATACACATAAGAAATGTTGGGCAACGAATGGAAAAGGAAAAAAGATCTAGAAGAGAACGTTGTCGCAAAAGTGATAAAGACCAATTGTTTATTCGCTTCTGAATACATGGAGATCTCCGTAGATGGACTTGTGAATGTGACCGGCACATCACCATTCAGTTGGCCCTTGATCTGCCTCGAGATCTTGAGGTGTTAGATGG